CATGAGTGGCCTCCATCTACTCATCCTCACACTTTATTTAGCACACAAAGCAGTAGACTGGGCTAGCAATGAAAGAACTCAGTACTAAAATCCAGAAGGAAGGACAAAGACAGCCTATAAATGCCAGGGCACACTCAATTCTAGCCATTTCTTAGGAAAAGCTCAAAAGTCAACAGCACAAGCATTCACTCAAGAATACCAGGTCTGCTCCTCAGACGAGTTCCATCCTTTTTGGAATATGTGAACCTTCAGAATAATAAGATCCAACTTCCAGAGTATTAATTCTACCTGCAGATTTGGGAGTGCAATTAAATCAGTAAAGTGCTAATCTAAAATTTAATTTTTATATTAAAAATGTATTATGGAATAGAAATGCAGAATTTACATTAGGTTAATATATGTTTTTTAAAAATCACATTTATGGAAGTCCAATTTGGGTAGCCCCCATACCTCTAGGTTTTTTTCATGCTCATTTTCCTGTGCCCTTTAAGAAGACAATGATGGGGAAGTTGTCAGCTTTTTTTGTTTTTAATGGCGTTCTTTAATGAAACTAAATCCATTTCTGTTGACAAAGGACCTTAAAATCACATAAACTCATGTCTTGGAAGATACAAGAACTATGCTGCTAATGGTTCCTCTTAATAGTAATCAAAGGTAAAGTCTTAAAAAGGCATCCATCCTTAGGTAGGTAATTGGCCAACTTAAGTATTTTGTGAAATCACATTTTCATGTAAAGTTGACAGTTTTCTTTTTTTTAATTTTTTTTAACGTTTATTTATTTTTGAGACACAGAGAGACAGAGCATGAACGGGGGAGGGGCAGAGAGAGAGGGAGACACAGAATCCGAAACAGGCTCCAGGCTCCGAGCTGTCAGCACAGAGCCCGACGCGGGGCTCAAACTCACGGACCATGAGATCATGACCTGAGCCGAAGTCGGACGCTTAACCGACCGAGCCACCCAGGTGTCCCCAAAGTTGACAGTTTTCAATTCTGTATTACAGGATCTTATCAACAGTTTCATTACAGCTGTGTTCCTTCTAATAGTTGCCATCTTGGCGATGCAAGACATGGAAAGAAGGCATTTATTCTATGTTGGAGGGGTAAGTTGAAGCCTTCATGACCCCAGTTAAGACCAGTATTTCAAGACTCTTTGCAAAGGAAAACTGACAGACCAGAAGTATTTCGTTTACACAATATCATTCATATCACCACCCCTTCTCTTTCTTGCACTTACTTCTTCAGAAGGTGTGAAGTTGCATAAACTCTAAGCTCATGAAAATCTTCACTCTAAATTTTTTTTTCAACGTTTTTTATTTATTTTGGGGACAGAGAGAGACAGAGCATGAACGGGGGAGGGGCAGAGAGAGAGGGAGACACAGAATCCGAAACAGGCTCCAGGCTCCGAGCTGTCAGCACAGAGCCCGACGCGGGGCTCCAACTCACGGACCATGAGATCATGACCTGAGCCGAAGTCGGACGCTTAACCG